GTTTAATTTCTGTGTATTTATGAGTTTTTTCTGGTTTCTTTTGTCAATTATTTCCAGTTTCTTTGCACTGTGGTCAGATAATATGCATGGGATAATTTCTGTTTTCTTGCATATACTTAAGCATGACCTATGGACCAGTATGTGGTATATTTTAGAAAATGACCCATGTGCAACTGAAAAAAAAGGTGCATGCAGTTGTGTTTGGCTGGAACACTGTATTTGTCCACTGCATCCATTTGTTCCAAGCTCTGGTTCAGTTCTGCTACTTCTTTAGTGATTTTTTTGTCTGTGTGACCTATCTTTTTATGGATAAGGAGGTGGTAAGGTCTCTTGTTAACATTTTGGCATTGGATATTAGAATTTTCATGTACATTAAGATTTGTCTTACGTATTTAGGTGTTCAGTGTTTGGTGCATATATATTTATGAGTGTTACCTCTTCCTCTGGAATTTTTCCCCTAACCAGTATATGGTGGCCCTCATTATTTCATTTGATAATTTTTGGTTTGAAGTTGAGACTGTCTCCAAATAGGATTGCTACCGCTGCCTTTTTCTGAGGTGCCTGGGCATGTAGTGTTGATTTTCATCCTTTGACTTTCAGCCTGTGAATTTCTTTATGAGTTACATGTATTTCTGTGTAAAGCATATTGTTGGATTTTTGTTTCTTAATCCACTGTGCCAGTCTATTTCTCTTAATTGGTGAATTGAGTCCATTTACATTGATGGTTAGAATTGAGATGCATTGTCTTACCATCGACATGTTATTTACCTGCTGTTTTTTACTCCTTTTTCTCCTGTGTTTTAATTTTTTGCCCTATTTAGTTGGTTCCTTCTGTTCTGGTTCATGGAGTTCTGATCATTTTGGTCCCTCTCTAGAGCATCTTTTAGTAGTTTCTGTAGGGTTGGCTTTGTCATTATGAAATTCTTTAATTGTTCTTTATTATGGAAGCACTTCAATTCTCCATCAAACTTGAAGGAGAATTTTGCAGGTTATAATATTATGGGCTGGAGTTTGTTCTGATAGAGGAGTTGAAGTACTCTGCTCCATGCTCTTCTTGCTTTCGTGGTGTGTGAGGAGAAGTCTGCTATTATTCTGGTGGGTTTTTCTTTAAATGTGATCTGTTTCTTTTCTCTAGCAGTTTTCAGTATATTATTTTTGTGTTAGATTTCTGGGATCTTGACTATTGTATTTCTCAGTGTGTTTTTAATTGGGTTGAGGTTACTTGGAGTTCTGTATGCTTCGGTTTTCTGAATGTTAGATTGTTTCCTCATATTTGGGAAGTTTTCTCCTATTACTTCTGCCCATATGGTTTTTATATCATTTGTATTGACTTCTTCTTTCTCACTGATGCCTGTTAGTCTCATGTTTTTCATCTTTGCATCGTCTTGCAGGTGATGAATTATTTTTTTCTGCATCATAGTTGTTTTTAAGAGATACTTTCTTAACTTTTCACTAGCTGTGATGTCATCTTCAAAATGTGAAACTCTATTTTCACTTTCACTCAAACGGTTTTGCAAGCTTTTGATTGAGATTTTAAGTTCCTCTATATCTCTTTGACTCTGCTTCATGCAATGTTTTTTTTCTGTATTTATCGTGCAAGGAATCCCTGTTTTCTAATCTCCTCTATTTTTTTTTTATCAGTGTCTTCTTGAGAAACATTTATCAATTCTTTTACTACACAGATTATTTCTGATCTAATTTCCCCTATATGTTTCTGCATTTGATTCTTTACTTCAGGTGCTATTAATTCAGAGATTTCTTTTTTTATTTCAGAGGTTATTTCTGATCTGAGTTAAGCTATACCTTTCTGCAGTTGCTTCTTTACTTCAGAAGCTATTGATTCAGGCATATCAGCTGTGTGTTTCCCAATTTCTTCTGTGCTGTGTCCTCTGCACTTTTACTGGGTTGACTCCGGTCCTGAGAAGGTATTTTGCTCCTTCTCTTTGTCATTTTGTATAGCACTGTCCTCTGACCTTTATTGTAGGGCTTTGCTTCAGTTATAACCTTAGAACTTACTGAAATTTGGGTGCAGATCTATTAATTTTGAGTTTATCCTATTGTGCCTGACTTGAGTCTAGCTGTTGTGCTCAGCTCCTTCCTGCTTCAGCCCTGGGAAATGAAGCTTTGTGCCCCTCTGACAAGACGTTCTCCTCCTGGATTAACAGGGTGATTCTGGTTCCTATTCTCTCTGCAGGGACTTCAGCTGGGTCTGGAGGGGTCCAGCAGGCACAGCGAGTGCAGAACCTCTCACACACTTGCTGGGTCTGCACTTGGGCTGGGTTTGGAGGGGGCCTGAGAGCGTGGTTGAAGCTCTCATTCATGTGGTTGCCTTGGGCTGGCTCCAGAGGGGTGTAGGGGTCTGGAGAGCAAGGCAGAAGGTCTCCCTCATGTGGCTGGCCTGGGCTGGGTCCAGAGAGGTTCAGCATGCTCAGGGGAGTGTGGAAGCTGTACCACACACTTGCCGGGCCTGGGCTTGTTCTGGGTCTGCAGGGGTCCTGAGAGCATGGCAGAAGTTCTCCCAATTATCTTTTGATTCTTGCTGCTTTTAAATTGACACATTTTGCGACTGTATTACTTAATAGATTTATATTTATTTCTTTTATGTTTTAAGTAAGAATAAACCTTCCCTTTTTATTAGGTTAGTTATCTGAGGTATTTTATTACAATAGTGCAAAGCTGATTAAAACAAAAGGACAGTGAGACTCAGAAATTTACCCAAGGGGATGTGGATAATAAAGCTCTTAGACTACAGTCATTTTAAATATAGATTTAAATCAGTACATCTTCTTGATAAATTTAATCCTTTATCAGTCATACAATCACTATCTCAGATAGTTTTCTGTCTTAAGGAAGATTTTCTATGTTAGTTTAACGGCTTTCTTTTGGTTAGTATTTACATGCCTTTTTCAGTGAAGGTTGAAGATAATAAGAAGTTATTTTCCTATAAACAGATTATAGTTTGATCTTATCTAATTCATTTATAGTTGATATAACTACTGAAGTATTTAGATATAAACATAGTGTCTTCTTTGTTTTTTATATCTACTGTCTTACATTTATTTTACTGTTCTTTGGCTTCTCTTGGATTAACTTCCTTTATTTACTTGTTTACCATGCTTCATTTTATTAT